TTCCTCCCCGGACTGTCATTTCTCATTCAGTCCCTCCTCCTGCACGCGGGACATTTTTACAGCGGCGGCTGATTTTGGCGTTTGCGGTTTTTTTTTTCCTCCATCCAGTAAACCCCCCCCCCAGCATGTCCTCCTCGGTCGGTGTCCAAAACACACACAGACCGGAATCAACGATTATTGGCTGGAAAAGCCCGGAACTAGCGGGCGTCTAGAAGAGTTTTTTTTGGCTGTAAAAAAACGCGGAAAACCAGCGTTTTTTGGACTTTTTTTGACCAGCTAACGTTACCGGCGCTATCAACCCCCCCCCCCCGCCCGCACCCCCAGTGTGCATGGGAGACCATTCTTTGGTTCAGCATGTGGGCGTTATCTATGCAAATACAGCCCTGTCTAGCACAACGCCCACTCCTCCAGACTGACACGCCCATCCATGCAGCCATTTTTGATATTTGTATAGCTCCTCCTACTGCTTGGCTCCGGAGAGAAGTACTGAGGCCGGGGGCTGGGATGGTTTTAGGAAGCGAAATACAACACCCCCCTCCCCACCAGCCATGATCTGTCTGCATTGCATAGAGAAGCACAGAGACCTGGTAATAGGTGTAAAATTAGGTTAAAAAAAAAAATGCAAAATACTTTTTTTTTTTTCATTAGTATCTTAATGGGGGGAGGGGCCAACCAGTAAGTGACAAATATATGCTTATTAAAATTCAAGGATTTTTCTTTTTCTCCAGGGAGACCCCAGCGCTCTGCACTGTACACCCCCCCCAGCGCTCTGTCTGCACTGTACACCCCCCCAGCCTCAGTACACCCCCCCAGCGCTCTGCACTGTACACCCCCCCCAGCGCTCTGTCTGCACTGTACACCCCCCCAGCGCTCTGCACTGTACACCCCCCCAGCGCTCTGCCTGCACTGCGCTCTGCACTGTACCTCCCCCCCCAGCGCTCTGCACTGTACACCCCCCCAGCGCTCTGCACTGTACACCCCCCCAGCGCTCTGCACTGTACACCCCCCAGCGCTCTGCACCACCCCCCAGCTCTCTGCACTGTACACCCCCCCCAGCGCTCTGCACTGTTCACACCTGACCGAAAATCCTTTATAGACGAAAAAAAAAGTCATGACTGGTCCTCATACATTGTAAACAGGGCGCAGCTTGTCACTGAGCCTGAAGGGGGCGCTGCTGGAGCACATGTGGAGTGAGCAGCCCAACTGCTTCTGCAGGAAAAGGTGCTGTTAGCTGGTGACACCTGCTGGCTGATTCCCGGCATTACAGTTGACTGATCCATTCACCAACCCTCCATCTCTGCTGTGCCCAGTGCCAGGGGTTCCCACCGTCCCTGCTGTGCCAGGGGTTCCCACCGTCCCTGCTGTGCCAGGGGATCCCACCGTCCCTGCTGTGCCAGGGGATCCCACCGTCCCTGCTGTGCCAGGGGATCCCACCGTCCCTGCTGTGCCCAGTACGAGAGGCTCCCAGTATCCTTGCTGTTCCCAGTACGAGGGGCTCCCGCCATCCCTGCTGTGCCCGGTACGAGGGGCTCCCGACATCCCTGCTGTGCCCGTACGAGGGGCTCCCACCATCCCTGCTGAAGTTTTCACAAATTACATAACCAGGAGAATCCAGTGGGTAGCATTGGGTCCCCCATGTTGGATCGCTCTATATTGGGTCCCCCATGTTGGATCGCTCTATATTGGGTCCCCCATGTTGGATCGCTCTATATTGGGTCGCCCATGTTGGATCGCTCTATATTGGGTCGCCCCATGTTGGATCGCTCTATATTGGGTCGCCCCATGTTGGATCGCTCTATATTGGGTCGCCCCATGTTGGATCGCTCTATATTGGGTCGCCCCATGTTGGATCGCTCTATATTGGGTCGCCCATGTTGGATCGCTCTATATTGGGTCCCCCATGTTGGATCGCTCTATATTGGGTCCCCCATGTTGGATCGCTCTATATTGGGTCCCCCATGTTGGATCGCTCTATATTGGGTCCCCCATGTTGGATCGCTCTATATTGGGTCTCCCATGTTGGATCTCTATATTGGGTCGCCCCATGTTGGATCGCTCTATATTGGGTCCCCCATGTTGGATCGCTCTATATTGGGTCCCCCATGTTGATCGCTCTATTATGGGTCGCCCATGTTGGATCGCTCTATATTGGGTCCCCCATGTTGGATCGCTCTATATTGGGTCCCCCATGTTGATCGCTCTATTATGGGTCGCCCATGTTGGATCGCTCTATATTGGGTCGCCCATGTTGGATCGCTCTATATTGGGTCGCCCATGTTGGATCGCTCTATATTGGGTCCCCCATGTTGGATCGCTCTATATTGGGTCCCCCATGTTGGATCGCTCTATATTGGGTCCCCATGTTGGATCGCTCTATATTGGGTCCCCCATGTTGATCGCTCTATTATGGGTCGCCCATGTTGGATCGCTCTATATTGGGTCCCCCATGTTGGATCGCTCTATATTGGGTCCCCCATGTTGATCGCTCTATTATGGGTCGCCCATGTTGGATCGCTCTATATTGGGTCGCCCCATGTTGGATCGCTCTATATTGGGTCCCCCATGTTGGATCGCTCTATATTGGGTCTCCCATGTTGGATCTCTATATTGGGTCGCCCCATGTTGGATCGCTCTATATTGGGTCCCCCATGTTGGATCGCTCTATATTGGGTCCTCCATGTTGATCGCTCTATTATGGGTCGCCCATGTTGGATCGCTCTATATTGGGTCGCCCCATGTTGGATCGCTCTATATTGGGTCCCCCATGTTGGATCGCTCTATATTGGGTCCCCCATGTTGGATCGCTCTATATTGGGTCCCCCATGTTGATCGCTCTATTATGGGTCGCCCATGTTGGATCGCTCTATATTGGGTCGCCCATGTTGGATCGCTCTATATTGGGTCGCCCATGTTGGATCGCTCTATATTGGGTCCCCCATGTTGGATCGCTCTATATTGGGTCGCCCCATGTTGGGTCCCCCATGTTGGATCGCTCTCTATTGGGTCCCTCATGTTGGGTGGAGGGGAGTGACTGCAGGGAGATCTCACTGCTGGACTTCCTGAGATTTATCCTGAGCCAGCAGGTGACTCCGCCCCTCATACTCCGCCCCTCATACTCCGCCCCTCATACTCCGCCCCTCATTGAAATCCCAGCTCTGGGCGGAGCATAAAATTTCAGGATTTAATCTGGAAGAATGTCCATTTCCATGATGGCAGCTCCTTCCTGTGATGTCATCAGATGGCGAGGATCGGTGAGGTTGCCGTGCAGATTGTACAGTCGGGAGTCGCTGATCATTTCCTGTCCGTTCTTTTCTCTTTCAGTCCTACTTTGTGACGGACTATGACCCGACCATCGAGGACTCCTACACCAAGCAATGCGTCATCGATGAGCGCGCCGCGCGGGGAGCTGGGGACAGTGAGTATAGGGAGCGATGGGGACCATAGACCGTACAATGAGTATAGGGAGCGATGGGGACCATAGACCGTACAATGAGTATAGGGAGCGATGGGGACCATAGACCGTACAATGAGTATAGGGAGTGATGGGGACCATAGACCGTACAATGAGTATAGGGAGCGATGGGGACCATAGACCGTACAATGAGTATAGGGAGCGATGGGGACCATAGACCGTACAATGAGTATAGGGAGCAATGGGGACCATAGACCGTACAATGAGTATAGGGAGTGATGGGGACCATAGACCGTACAGTGAGTATAGGGAACGATGGGATCATAGACCGTACAATGAGTATAGGGAGCGATGGGGACCATAGACCGTACAGTGAGTATAGGGAGCGATGGGGACCATAGACCGTACAATGAGTATAGGGAGCGATGGGGACCATAGACCGTACAATGAGTATAGGGAGTGATGGGGACCATAGACCGTACAATGAGTATAGGGAGCGATGAGGACCATAGACCGTACAATGAGTATAGGGAGCGATGGGGACCATAGACCGTACAATGAGTATAGGGAGTGATGGGGACCATAGACCGTACAATGAGTATAGGGAGTGATGGGGACCATAGACCGTACAATGAGTATAGGGAGCGATGGGATCATAGACCGTACAATGAGTATAGGGAGCGATGGGGACCATAGACCGTACAATGAGTATAGGGAGCGATGGGGACCATAGACCGTACAATGAGTATAGGGAGCGATGGGGACCATAGACCGTACAATGAGTATAGGGAGCGATGGGGACCATAGACCGTACAATGAGTATAGGGAGCGATGGGGACCATAGACCGTACAATGAGTATAGGGAGCGATGGGGACCATAGACCGTACAATGAGTATAGGGAGCGATGGGGACCATAGACCGTACAATGAGTATAGGGAGCGATGGGGACCATAGACCGTACAATGAGTATAGGGAGCGATGGGGACCATAGACCGTACAATGAGTATAGGGAGCGATGGGGACCATAGACCGTACAATGAGTATAGGGAGCGATGGGGACCATAGACCGTACAATGAGTATAGGGAGCGATGGGGACCATAGACCGTACAATGAGTATAGGGAGCGATGGGGACCATAGACCGTACAATGAGTATAGGGAGCGATGGGGACCATAGACCGTACAATGAGTATAGGGAGCGATGGGGACCATAGACCGTACAATGAGTATAGGGAGCGATGGGGACCATAGACCGTACAATGAGTATAGGGAGCGATGGGGACCATAGACTGTACAATGAGTATAGGGAGCGATGGACCATAGACCGTACAATGAGTATAGGGAGCGATGGGACCATAGACCGTACAATGAGTATAGAGAGCGATGGGGACCATAGACCGTACAATGAGTATAGTATTCTCGGCACGTCACACTCGTCCTGTAGGTGGTCTCTGATCCCTCCAGTTGTTGGCTGTTCGTGCTGCAGCCCTGTAGAGGGGGAAGTGACACCATCTTTGTCTGGTTTCTCCTGCAGTTCTGGACACGGCGGGGCAGGAGGAGTTCGGGGCCATGCGGGAGCAGTACATGAGGACCGGGGAAGGATTCCTGTTGGTGTTTCTCGGTGACGGACCGAGGGAGGTAAGTCACCCGGCTGTATAATGTGACAGACCTCATAGAAATTATTAAAGCAGACGTATAGCACAGGATTCACAGAGCATGAGGGGCGAGCTAACCACAGAGCACAGGATTCACTGGGTATGAGGGGCGAGCTGAGCACAGGATTCACTAGGCATGAGGGGCGAGCTGAGCACAGGATTCACTGGGCATGAGGGGCGAGCTGAGCACAGGATTCACTGGACATGAGGGGCGAGCTGAGCACAGAGCAAAGGATTCACTGGGCATGAGGGGCGAGCTAAGCACAGAGCACAGGATTCACTGAGCATGAGGGGTGAGCTAAGCACAGAGCACAGGATTCACTGAGCATGAGGGGTGAGCTAAGCACAGAGCACAGGATTCACTGAGCATGAGGGGCGAGCTAAGCACAGGATTCACAGGGCATGAGGGGCGAGCTAAGCACAGAGCACAGGATGCACAGAGCACAGGATTCACTGAGCATGAGGGGCGAGCTAAACGGAGAGCACAGGATTCACTGGGCATGAGGGGCGAGCTGAGCACAGAGCACAGGATTCACTGGGCATGAGGGGCGAGCTGAGCACAGAGCACAGGATTCACTGGGCATGAGGGGCGAGCTGAGCACAGGATTCACTGGGCATGAGGGGCGAGCTGAGCACAGAGCACAGGATTCACTGAGCATGAGGGGCGAGCTAAGCACAGAGCACAGGATTCACTGAGCATGAGGGGCGAGCTGAGCACAGAGCACAGCTGAGTGTTTGTTTTCAAATCTCGTTCTAATTGAAGTAATTCATAGAGAGACTTCTGGTCTGAACTCACTGCTGTGAATGAACTAAAGCTTGAGGTATTGGACTCTGTAAACTCCGGGCTTGTTGTAGAGAAATCTACTTCCACTGAGGACCGCCTCCTTCATTCCATATCTTTGTCATTACGTCAGATAACAGAGTGATACATTGTTTATTCCGGGGATGAACAAAGCTGGAGAGGTTACTGACATCATAATACGTAGGTGGAAGGTCATCGTGCATGATTGAAACTGTGTAGATGCAAAAGTAACAATGTTACTTTGTATCTCTATCCCGTCTGATCGATGTTTATAAAATATGTTACTTTGTATCTCTCTATCCCCCGTCTGATTGATGTTTATAAACAATGTTACTTTGTATCTCTCCATCTCCCGTCTGATCGATGTTTATAAACAATGTTACTTTGTATCTCTCCATCCCCCGTCTGATCGATGTTTATAAACAAATGTTACTTTGTATCTCTCCATCCCCCGTCTGATCGATGTTTATAAACAATGTTACTTTGTATCTCTCTATCCCCCGTCTGATCGATGTTTATAAACAATGTTACTTTGTATCTCTCTATCCCCCGTCTGATCGATGTTTAAACAAATGTTACTTTGTATCTCTATCTCCCGTCTGATCGATGTTTATAAACAATGTTACTTTGTAACTCTCTATCTCCCGTCTGATCGATCTTTATAAACAATGTTACTTTGTATCTCTCTATCCCCCGTCTGATCGATGTTTATAAACAATGTTACTTTGTATCTCTATCTCCCGTCTGATCGATGTTTTGATAAACAATGTTACTTTGTATCTCTCTATCCCCCGTCTGATCGATGTTTATAAACAATGTTACTTTGTATCTCTCTATCCCCCGTCTGATCGATGTTTATAAACAATGTTACTTTGTATCTCTATCTCCCGTCTGATCGATGTTTATAAACAATGTTACTTTGTAATCTCTCTATCTCCCGTCTGATCGATCTTTATAAACAATGTTACTTTGTATCTCTCTATCCCCCGTCTGATCGATGTTTATAAAACAATTGTTCCTACTTTGTATCTCTATCTCCCGTCTGATCGATGTTTATAAACAATGTTTACTTTGTATCTCTATCTCCCGTCTGATCGATGTTTATAAACAATGTTACTTTGTGCTCTCGGTGTCACAACGTGGGATATTGCTTTTGTTCTCTGACACGATTCTCTCTTCTGTTCAGTTTTGAGAGATCTACAAAATTCCAGGCGGCAGATCCTGCGGGTGAAGGACCGGATGAGTTCCCGATGGTCCTGGTGGGAAACAAGCGGATCTGGAGCACCAGAGGCAGGTAAGTGTCCCGAGGTCCCTGAAGACACAACATCTACCATCTTCTGTAAAGTGCACCTGTCATTGCGGAATGATGAAAGCTGCTATTGGCTGCCATGCTGTTCTTGTAGTTCTAAAATTGGTGTCAGTGGGAGGAATAGTGCCCCATCATTGGTGTCAGTGGGAGAATTAGTGTCCCATCATTGGTGTCAGTGGGAGGAATAGTGCCCCATCATTGGTGTCAGTGGGAGGAACATGCCCCATCATTGGTATCAGTGGGAGGAATAGTGCCCCATCATTGGTGTCAGTGGAGGAATAGTGCCCCATCATTGGTGTCAGTGGGAGGAATAGTGCCCCATCATTGGTGTCAGTGGGAGTAATAGTGCCCCATCATTGGTGTCATGGGGGGAATAGTGTCCCATCATTGGTGTCAGTGTGAGGAATAGTGCCCCATCATTGGTGTCAGTGGGAGAATTAGTGTCCCATCATTGGTATCAGTGGAGAATTAAGTGTCCCATCATTGGTGTCAGTGGGAGGAAGATAGTGCCCCATCATTGGTGTCAGTGGGAGTAATAGTGCCCCATCATTGGTGTCAGTGGGATGAATAGTGTGCCCCATCATTGGTATCCCGTGGGAGGAATAGTGCCCCATCATTGGTGTCAGTGGGGAGGAATAGTGCCCCATCATTGGTGTCAGTGGGAGTAATAGTGCCCCATCAATGGGTCATTGGTGATCATGTGGGAGAATAGTGCCCCATCATTGGTAGTGCAGGGTGGGAGGAATAGTGCCCCATCATTGGTGGAATGTGCAGTGGTGAGGCATAGTGCCCCATCATTGGTGTCAGTGGGAGAATTAGTGTCCATCATTGAATATTGGTGCCCCATCATTGGTGTCAGTGGAGTAAATAGGGCCCCATCATTGGTATCAGTGGCCCCAGGTGTCAATAGTGGACTCCCAACAATCATGGAGAGGAATGTATCAGTGGAGGAATATTGCCCCATCATTGGGGTGTCAGTGGGAGAATTAGTGTCCCCACATCATTGGTGTCAGTGGGAGACAATTAGTAGTGTCCCATCATTTGGTGTCAGTGGGAGAATAGTGCCCCATCATTTGGTGTCAGTGGAGTAATAGTGCCCCATCATTGGTGTCCAGTGGGCAAAATGTGCCCCCCCAACACATTGGTGGTCACAGTGGAGGAATAATGCCCCATCATTGTGTCAGTTGGGAGGACCCCCCCAATATTGCTGCCCACCCCATGGTGTCAGTGGGAGAAAAAGTGCCCCATCATTGGTGTCACCCCCTCCAGGAGGAATTAGTGCCCCATCATTGGTCTCCAGTTGGTAGAATTCTCCCCCTCGTGTCCCCATCAAAATCTTGGTATCAGTGGGGAGAATTAGTGTACCCATCATTGGTGTCAGTGGGTAGATGAATAGTGTCCCCCATCTCTGGTGTCCCCATCTGGGAGGTAATAGTGTGTCCCATCTTTGTGTCAGTGGTAGAGGAATAGTGTGCCCCCATCCCCCCCCCTCCCCCCCCCCCCCGTGGGAGGAAGTGCCCCATCATTGGACTCACTCTTCCTCCCCCGGTCTCTCTCGCCCTCGCCCCCCCTCTCTCCCCCCTCCTTCCCACTTCCTCTCCAGTCCTCCTCCCCTCCCCTTCTCTCTCTCATCCCAAGTAGCCCCCCCCTCCCCTTACTCTCTCCCCTCCCCCCATCTCTCTCCCCGTCAGTGTCCCCATCTCTCTCCCCTCCCCCCATCATCTCTCACTCCCCCCCCCCCCATCTCTCTCCCCTCCCCCCAGTCCACTCCCCCCCCCCCCCCCCCCCCACCCCCTCCTTCCCCCCATCTTCTCTCCCCCTCCCCATCTCTCCCCCCTCTCCCCCTCCCTCCTCCCCCTCCCCCCCCCCCCCCCCCCCCCTCCACTCCCCTTACCCCTCTCCCCCCCCCTCTCTCCCCTCCTCCCCCTCCCCTCTCTCCTCCCCCTCTCCCCCTCCTCCCATCTCTCCCTCTCCCTCCCCCCTATTTTCTCTCTCCCCTCCCCTTCCCCCCTCCCTCCCCTCTCCCCCCACCTCCCCCCCCCCGCCCTCTCCCCTCTCCCCCCCCCCTTCTCTCCCCCACTTTTTATATTCCCCCCCACCTCTCCTCCCTTCCCCCTCCCCCCCCCCCTCCCCCTCCTCCCCCTTCCCCCCCCTCCCCCCCTCCATCCCCCTCACCCCCCCCTCCCCCCCTCCCCCCCCCCCCTCCCCCTCCCCCCCCCCCTACTCCCTCACCTCTCCCCTCCACCCCACCCAGCCCCCTCCTCCCCCTCCCCCCTCCCCTCCCCTCCCCCCATACCACTTCTCCCCTCCCCCCACTCTCTCCCCTTCCCTCTCCCCCCTCCCTCCTCCCCTCCCCCCTCTCTACCTAACTCCCCTCACCCCACCCCCCTCTCTCTAGTCCCCATACCTCTCCCCCCTCTCTCTCCCCTCACCCCCCCCCTCTCCCCCGCCCCTCCCCTCCCCCCTCCCCTCTCCCCCCTCCCCTCCCCCTCCCCTCCCCCCACCCCTCCATCCCCTCCCCTCCCCCCCTCTCCCATCCCTCCCCTCCCCCTTAGCAACCCACCTCCCCCCCACTCATTCACCCCCCTCCCCCCCTCCCCCCCCTCCCCCCTCCCCCTCCTCCCCCCCATCTCCCCCCCCCCCCCCTCCTCCTCCCCCCTCTCCTCCCCTCCTCTCCTCACCCTCCTCTCTCCCCCCTCTCCCCCATATCACATCCCCCCCTCCCCTCCCCTCCTCCCCCTCTCCCCTCCCCTCCCCCTCCTCCCCCTCTTCCCCCCCCCCACTCTTCCTCCCTCCTCTCTCCCCTCCTCTCCCCTCCCCTC